TGCAATCGAGCGTTTCCGTTCATTAACAAAGGAAATGAATCATACAAAGAACTGGTGGAGGCAACATAAAAGCAAATGTCGCAATGGCGGACGACCTCATTAGCCGGGGCTCGATAAACACTACGATTCGGACATTTTTCAAAAAGCTAACAAGTGCGTGCATTAGGAAACTGATCCTCGCCGGGTATCACGCATTTTTACCTTTGTGGACGCATTTATTATATAAAAATATTTTCTGTTGCTTTATGGTCACTTTTCACCAAACGCGGTATTCATTTGGTGGATAAATCATCAAAGGGTTGTAACGTGCGCGGCTGTCCTGATACACGAAAGGAACATTACACATTTCCCTTTCGCGTATAAAACGTACCACCCACATATGTGTATGTTTGCACCAAAATTACATGTAAATCCTTTACCAATAGGTATAGATATACGTTATAACACTGTGAGGCAAGAGGCTTTACCGAGAATGGACACAGGGCAGTGTCTTTTGTTATTCCATACAATAACTATCAAAATTCTCTCGTGCTCGTTATCCATCTTCTTTTTTTAATAATGAGACAGACATAAACAACGTCACGCAGATCTTCCCGCAAAATTTCGTCGATATCGCATGGTAGCATTGTCAAATAAAGCAGTTAGGCATGGGTTTTTACAAAACATAAGACATCAACAGTCACTTCCAATGAAGGCTGATGCATTCACGCGCGGGAAACATTTTGTGCATCATGTATGCTCATGTGAAATGTCCTGCAGTTTTCCGTAACACTTACACAAAACATTTAGCTCTAGATGCGTGTCCGCTGAATACCATAATACTCCTCCGCTAGGCTATTCATTCTAAACATTGTTGTGAAAATCTTCGATCTAAATTCTTCTCGATAAGGTGAGAGGGAATACAATATTAAGAATGAAGAAGTCTGACGTCTTTGGCTTTGGACCTTGGAAAATAACCACCACCAAAGGAGCTATTCTTAAAGCGAATGACGCAGAGAGGTAGGGTTGTAAAACTCCTAAATCGCGTGTCTACCATGAGTCAAATTAAGTTGGGTGTAGATATAATATGTATAATATGTACTACAGTACTTATTTTTTCTAGAAATTTTTCCATATGTATTTCAGCCGGTCTCTGAACAGATATGAAAGGATCCTACTCCCTGCTGGCTTTGTTTCTTCTATCTCAGTGGAACTTTTCGGTGTTAAACAAATCTAATCTTGGGGTTGGGTGCCTTTAAATCTAGATTATTTTTATTTCTTTGTGCTGTTATATAGAATCTCTTCTGAGCTGGAGCTTCCTTCTCTTCCTGAAATGGTGTTCGGCGACAATGTTCTGCAGATTGATCATGCTGCAGGATTTGGGATTCAATTTAATGCACTGGATGCACTAAAACTGGTAGACAATAGGCACGACTTGATGAAGGTTGCTGTTGCAGAAGAATGGCAAAGCAAAAGGTGAAGCTCATAAATAAAAATTCAGATAGTAGCTCTCACAAGTGCACTACTTTAAATGGCTAAGCATGCAAAACATTCATAGCCAGAGTTCTCCTCCAATGATTAAACACTTCAATAGTGTTTGCTTATAGAATATATATCTGTAAAGGAGTTCAACTGTATCTTCACTGTTGGGTAATTTATTTAGTGTAAATTTTTAAGATCTAGTGGGGAGTGTACTTCCCACAGGGGGTTCTACGAAGTTCTACTCTATCTAAAAGAAGTGCATTTTCCATGAATAAGGTGTAGAAAGTGAGAGAAGTTCAGATTCTTAAGGTAATCAACCACATGCAATGTAAAGAAGTGTAAGGCAAACTTAATAGCTAAGAGCTGATTCATGTAACCTATTTAGAAGTTATTTGAGAGCAAATGTAATGAACCCTTCAACTTCCAAGATCTGATTGTTAATTCTCCCCTTTTGCTACTACACATTTCCCTATTAGTGAGTTATAAGAATCTGGTGTTAGATCAAGATAACAACTTCTTCCTGATAAGTATGAGCGTATTCTAATAACCTGTTTGCTGGATAGTGAATTGGTATTGTGGAGAGGAGTTACATGTTAATCACTTCGAGTTAAAAGGTTAATGTTACCAAGAATTAACCAAATTGCTTTTACATATTGTGTCTCTCTTTTCGTTTTTTCACCTGAACCTCATAGGCAGGATTCAGAATATATCAAAGAGGTTATAAAACCTTTTGACTGGACATTCACAACAGATTACAAGGGTACATTGACTGGAAAAGAAGAGATTGTATTTCAGGTGTGGTTTTAAAGATAAGTAAGAGAAATTTATGCATTGTAAGGTCTTTGACTCAGCAACTGAATAATTCACTTTAGTTAATAGTTTTGAGTCATATTTAATTTAGTATAGCATGAAATTCAGCCAGTAGAGTATATCTGTCAATCACTGATTCATTCATTTTTTAAATGTAATGATATCAATTTATTCTTCCACATCATGTGCCATTATGAACAAATATTGCTTTACTTGTTCAACCCTTAGCACTATAACATCAGCATGCGTATTCTCTTAACTGTTCTCTATACATTTCCCAAGGTACTGACAAGGAGAATTTGTTTAACAATCAAGAACTTCTTTCAAGAGTTAGTGATCATTTCCGTTATTCTCACGACTTGATTTTTGATTCAGGGGTGCTACCGTTGGGAGAAGTTATATGCTTAATGTTCTTAGGGGTTAAAGAGTTAGTAAAAATCTTATGTTGTGTTCTCCTCACTTATTCCAGGTTGAGCCCACCAAAGAGAGAATAGATCTAGAACAGCTGAAAGTTAAAGAAAAGATATATTTCTATGAAGACATTATATTGTATGAAGATGAATTAGCAGATAACGGCATAGCAAAGTTGAATGTCAAAATGGTAAGAGAAAACAGATGCAGTTATGAATGTTTATGTGACCAATTGTAAGGACAATATGATTGAATGTGTGCAAAGCTTTTTTTCTTTTTGCATTTTTGCAGCCCAAGGTTGTCAGTGTCCTGGCAAATGAAAATCAACTCAATACCCACCTATTTTTCTAAACGAGCTTGTTCAACAAAGGATTTATTTTACAGAAAAAAAAACATATCAAAGAATTTTGAAAGAAACTCACAAAAAAACCTCAAATCTTCCAGTTGGTGGAGAAATGTGTGTCCTGTATACAGGCCAATTCTTTCTGGCTTGAGCTGTAACTTATGCTTAAGTTTTGTCCTATAGATTTAAAACTCTCTCTCTCTGATTGAGAGAGAAATTCATATTATGTGATTATAGAGCCATGGGCATGCAAAGACATCTTATTCATTTCATGCATTTTTTACTTTCAGCGTGTTATGCAGGGAGGTTTCTTTCTGTTGCTGAGATTTTTTTTGAGAGTAGATGGAGTTCTTGTTAGGATCAATGATACAAGAATTCATCACAAGGTACATAGTACTTTTTAATTAGAATGAGATTTACCACTGTAAACCTTTTTAAAGAAACTGGTCCTAAAAAATTTGAAGTCTTTTTGGCAGTCTGACATGTGTTATGGCCAAGAACACTTGGGTTGGTTTTACTGCAGGGTCCAAACAGAATTACCCAAAAGACATTTGTTCTTTTCTTTAGCAGCAGTTTATCGACTGTCTTTTGTTATCCATCTTCTAATTTATGGTCCAATTACAGGCTGGCACTTCATACATGTTAAGGGAATATTCATCCAAAGAAAGAAAAGTAGCAGACCTCTTAGAATTAAAGGTTGGTCCTCTTTATGGTACTTGAATTTTCCTCAACAAATTTTAATGTAGACAGGTTCCAGTCTAGACTGGAATCTCTCCACCTAGAAGTGAAAATGCTCAACAGCAAACTGTAATGGAAAGCTATCAATATGCTAGGAGATTACTTGTAATAGACTGTTTTCCCACCATGGCTGTTGCCTCTTGTTATAAAAACCACGAAAGGAAAGATTGGGCTCACTGTGTTGTTTTCTTGGTTAAGAAATGGAGAATAAATGGCAACAAGAGAATGGGGAGCCTTGAAAATATTTTTGAGTTGCACGCATTGAGCTAACTTTTCATCCAGGAGGAGTAACAGTCCTCCTGGTTGCTTTTAGCAACAGAACCAGACTTAAGTTCCAGCAGCTATGCAGAATTTACCCATCCTCCCCATTCACATAGGATACTTTTCCTATGCTCCAATCTCTCGCCATACACCTCAGCAAGGTATTTCAATAAAAGTGGATTACGGATGGTCTACCACCTTCCTGTGAGACCTCTTACCCACCGTCTTTTTAGCTTGCAAGAAGGCTCATATGCTTGGGTTTGGCTTTTTGGCTCCTTTTCTGGGCACAGCTGCCTATTACAACGTTGGCAGCCCAGCCGCTTATGGAAACAGTTACTGACACCTCCATTTAAGTGAATTTTTTTATATTGGCTATGAATTCTAAAGGAAGTGTTTCTGGTATTTCCAGGTTCCAATTACAGATCCGACGCAATTAGCTGAACACTTATTTCTCCGGTACGAGACATTTGAGAAACTGTCTTTTCCCGATGGCATTGATGCATTGTTTGGTGTTGAATCCTTGGTCAGTTAAAAGTCAGATGTATGGCAGGGCTATCTGAAGACTTGTAGACAAATAAAAGAAATGCTGGAATGGATTCCACTACAGGGATTGAGGAAGAATAGACAAAAAAATTTTGCTTTGATCAAGAATACGGCTCAAGGTTTACTTTCAACATTATTGTCACTGGAAACCTTCGGGAGAAAGCCATTTTTGCCATCTGACCATTGAGACTGATCTGAAGGGGAGGGAATTCTCGGCCAGACAATCACAGTGTACAGTATTTGCCCTTCTCTGTCTAGGCTATTGCAGACGATGCTGGTAGTAATCCATAAACTGTTTCATTCGAGTTTATATTTGGCATGTCGCGCCGCAGACAGTTAGACTCAAAGAGGACGTGCCGCATAATTATGAAAAGAACTCACCCTTAAAGTCACGCAGGTTGTATACAAGCTCTATGAACAAGAGGGATTTATGAACAGGAAAAAAAATGGCTGAATTCAGCACAAGTTGCTGAGAGGCACACCCAGTGTTGCCTCTTTTTGTGGAAACTGTAAAAAAAAGCTAATTGAATAGTCAGCTGTCTTTTACACTTTGTCAATGAAATGTAATTGAAACTTGTCATAGAACACTGTGAGTAGGTACCAGTCACGGCTGATCAATGAAGGCGAACCTCCTTAATTCATGATGCAATCAGTCAACCTCTTACAAAAAACACCATTGTGTAATTGTCGCTTTTCGCAATTACGATTTGATCTTTTTACTGAGAAGGAGCATTCATTTTTTCGTCTTGAGAACGCACTTAGTGCTTGAAGAGAGGATTGATGCGAGATGTTTTCCAAAAATTGTTCAGACACGTGCCATTGACGTGCATCAAATGTGAAGACAGAAACAGGTCATAGTTCTTGACAATGGCTCAAAATCATCCTGCAGGTCATTACAGACAAAAAAAAATTACAGACAAAAAAAAAATTACAGACAAAAAAAAATTACAGACAAAAAAAATTACAGACAAAACCAACATCTGGCAGCTAAGTTTGCTTTTTTTGGTAGACTATTCACTAGCTAGGGAAAGGTAAGTTTGATAATTCCTTATTATCAGGCCCTTAGGGGTGTAGGGGGCAGCAGTTGTGCAAGGGGAGAGGGAAGGGAAGAGTAGCACCCCCCCCCCCCCCCCCCCCCCCCCCCCCCCCCCCCCC